ATTATTCAAGGATGAAGTATATATCATAGTATACTTCATCCTATAGTATATATACCATAGTAGACGAGGAGGGGTTAGCGCAGTGGCGCGTACCTTCGCTCGGGAACCAGTATTGATCCTTTTTTTTTTTTTTTAAAGAAGTATATACCATAGTAAAATAACTATAAGGGGTCATTTTACGAATTGTCATGTAAATTATTAGATTATAAAAAAAAATGGCAACTATTTTCTAACATGTTAAATAAACATATAAATTTAATATTAAACTATTATATATCATAAAATTAAAAATATATTAAAATTTTTTATACTAATTAATATTCTTTCATTTCTTTATATTATTGCCCAGTGCATCGCACGAGCTACGTACTAGTAGCAACTAAAAATCAACAAAAAAAGATTTGATTTCCCGCCTAAAGTATTTACTCTATTGAGAAATATTTTTGGCCAAAATTTGAAAAATCCCTCCTAAACTAATGGAATTAATGTACAAAATCATTTTGGTCAAATATTGCGACTATTACCTTTATTAGTTGCATGATCTTAATTTGGAATATAATATATTGAAAAAAAATTTATTTAAAATTAAAAATAAAAAAATAATTATTCATAATTTGCGGGTCAATATTAATTTGGACGTGAACGAAATAGTCAATTATTTATAGTTTAATAAATTACTCAATAACTTACGGGTCAATATTAACTTGGACGTAAACGGAATAGTCAATTATTTATAATTTAATATATTACTCAACTACTTAATTTTTTTATTTGTATATTTTATACAAAAATAGATTATTTTAAGTAACGAAACACTATATTTATACTTATTATTCACATAGGTTGTTAAATATATGATAACATTTTACCAAAATAACTATTTTATGGAATCACAATATAGTCAAATCGAATATCTGAATAAAAATTTTGAAATAATACTCATTTTGGAACGAATATAATGTAATTTATTATCAGTTATGTGCACCAAACGGGTTGTGTACTAATTTTAAATAGACATTTTAATTTTAATCTTTACATAACATTTCAATAAATTAGAATAGGTAAATGTATTACATATTGATTCCATATTTTTAATTTATAAATATTACTTAATAAGAATTTTTAATTTATAACTATTAGTGAATATCTCTTACCCGTGCCCTGCACGAGACTGATACTAGTCATGTTACATACAATCTTGAAATTAAATAATGTGAGACATAATAAAATTTCATTTAAAACCTCCGAGTTTTGGCAATTTCATTTAAAATTTTGAATAGTTAGTTACAAAATCAAATATGTGACATTTTACTAGCCATCACACCACAATTTTCAGCCAAATGCCTTGGGATCCCCCTTAGAATTGGTACAGCCAAATACCTTGGTTGATTAAATCTAATTTGATTGTCGTCCTCAGATCATTCCGACACTATGGCGACAAGAATTAGCTAAGTAAGTCAAAATCATTACACGATCCAAACATGTGTACCTATGAATGAGTTTGAGTCTCTTAATCCTAAGCAAACACTAGGGCGTAAATATTTTTGGACGAATATATTTTTGCACTCATTCAATTATGATGCGTGATATCATGCATCCAAGATGAGACTTATATTTAGTAGGGAACATTTTAACGGAATTCTAATTATCTAATATTCAAGCAAGATCCAACTAATAACAAATATCAGGCGCCGCCTACTCGAGCATAATATAACGCGGTCCGACAAACACTGGGCGCCGTCTACTCAGGCATAATATCAGGCGGTCCGACAAATTGTAATATCCCGATATTTTATCGGTATAAATTATGTTTTAATTCCGATATAATAATGTTAACGTTTATTATTTTCGGAATGGATTATTTTCAGTCGAGATTACCGGAATTTATTTTCGACGTACCGTTTACGTTCGGAATAATTTTGGTAATTAAGCATTATGTTTAATTAAATAATTAAACATAAGAAAAGGGATTAATTAGCATTAATCCTTCAATTAAGGCATCAAAGCCGTCCCATTTAAGTCCAAAGCTTAAGCCGTACGGGAATTGCATTTTTCCAAATTTTGGCTAAGTAATTTCCGATGTCTTAAGGAATTAATCTCCTCCCACATATTATCAAGCATACGTGGCAATTAAGGAGGTGCTTAGTCACCACATAATCACTTAGGTGCTAGCATTTGGAAGGCAAGCAAAAAGGCCACAAGTTCACTACGTCATCACCATCCTTACGACACTTAATATATAAGCATGAGTTTGATCAAATTTTTCCCCCACTTTCCACAAGTTATATTCAGCATATTTCTTCTCAAGTATTGCGTAGCATCAGCAAGTTTTAATAAGGCCAAATTCACTTCTCCGTACGGTAATACCTACAGCACTCACGGCAATTGTCGAAGCCGCGCATGGAGCTAAGGAAATCACGACTACCTTGCGTCTTTAGCCGAACGTTCGACGAGGTAACTCCCTCCTCATCTTGTAATCATGTTAGTAAGACCATAATAGGGTTAAGTATTCGAGTTAGATTCAGAAATTGTAAGGAAGTTCATGCTATGTTCGGTTAAGGTCATATTTAAGGCAAGACCCCATTACGTCCGTTTCATCCCGACAAGTCCCGAACGTTTATTGTTTCGTCAGCCATCAGTATGTATATTATGTTCAGTTAAGTGGGATTTGTTGGGTAAATCAAAGGTTTGGTCGAGAAATTGGCTTAAAGCCAAGGACCGCACGTGGTGTGCGTGTCAACGGCCGCGTCGTGTTATCTTTGCCTATGATCAAGTTTGTTCGAACAATTAATGTCTAAATGATCAAGTTAAGTCAGGTTAGGTCAGGTAATGTTATGTTACGTTGAAGTTGTCGGAAAGAAACGCCGAACGGCCGACGGGTGTTGGTCGTGTGTGCGCTGCCCGCATATCGCGGTAGCAGCGTGCCGGCAGGAGGTGCACGGTGCAGGGACTGCGCGGTAGAGTGCCGCGTAAGGCCAGTGCC